GGAGCCTAGGAGCGTCCCAACTGCACACCTCGGGACCCTGACCAAGCGTCGCTCCTGGACGTTTATGGAGTGAGAGTGTGTTGCGGTGTGGGGAAATTATACAGATGGCTAGTCTGCCCCTGAAAAATGTCTATGCACCCGTTATTATTAATAATATTAATATATATATTAATTATTTTGTAATCATCTCGCGACCCCCACTCGGGATCTTGAGACCCCCCGGGGGGTCGCGACCTCCACTTTGGGAACCTCTGCTCTAGGAGGAGATTCAGGTGATAAGGTGGGGGGTGTTACCTTGGTTGGTGATTGGCTAATGGTTACACAAGCCAAAAAAAATCGTTATGACATCATAAAGTGGCCAAGAGGGGACACATGTTTATGTATAAAAGACATGAAAAAGTGGATTTTGTATAATAGGTGACCTTTAAGTCTACTAGAATAAGGATTGAGGCCTTATTTGCAAAATTGATGAGTCGGTGATCATTCATTGTTTTAGTTACAGCAGTCTCTGTACGGTGGTTGGACTTAAAACCTGATTGAAATGTTTTAGGGAAGCGTGTCCTCAGATGTTTTAGGGAAGCGTATCCTCAGATGACTTCAGTATGACGTGGTTAGTCTGTAACTTCCGGCCACTTGAAGTCATCTTACTTCTTCTTAAATGTATACACTGACCACACCCTTTATCGTGCCAAAAAGGAATACATACGTTACTTTGTCATTGTCCTCATTGCGACTTTGAAAATAATTTGCAATGTTCAAGCGACGGTTTCTATAAATATATATGGTTAGTCAGCAAACGCAACAGGGGGAAAGAGGAAGGGTTGATTGTCCACAGAAGAGGAAACAAAGGTTTTATAGGGGGACTTCCTATGATCATCAAACATGTGTATGTTAGCAGCCAGCACAGTCTACGTGTTTGAAGTGAGCGTCTAAAAAATGATTATTGTATCAGTGGCCTACTTTCTCCTGTTAGGTAAGTCTGCTGTGTGTGTGTGTCTGTGTGTGTGTGTACATGACATGAACACAGAGGAATAATTCATTATCTATGGCATTTGTTTAGTTTGGGAACCAAATGATTTAATCTTAATGAACATAAAACATGCTGTCCATCACGTTTCTGTTATTTTTAGTGTCTGATGCAACAGGGATTCTTCGAGTCAACACAACCGTCGGGAAATCAACGATACTCCCATGTTTGTTGAACACAAATATAACTGACCTACATAATCTACGATTTTACTGGCAGGATGAAAACAAGAAGGTTTTATACTCTTTTGATAAAGGAACAGAGGTGCCAGAGTATGTGGACAGACTTTATCGAGGCCGGATCACAGCCTTCCATCAGGACATGAGAATAGGACATGTTTCAATCAAACTTGAAAACACAACGATGGAAGATAATCAAAAGGTTTTCGATGTTTTTGCAAAAGTGTTTGAAAGTGGAGGGACAACCAATAGAATCTGCCAACTTACTTTACATGTTGACGGTAAGGAAGAACATTTAACTTTTCACTACAGGATTAATCAGATAGAGGAAAACAAACCATTCTCTCAGTTAAGAAAGGAGAAGCAATGTAGCGTGTTTTCCAAAACGTCTTTTTGACAAAAGTGAAACTTCACTTTCTTTCTCACAGCTCCAAACGAGATCCAGGCCACCATCTGCCCTTCAAACCGGAGTAAGTTAATAGCAGAATTGATTGTTCTGTGTATCCTTTAACCGATCATTTCCTGATTTAAAACCATGGACTGTATACATTTTTGAAGTCTCTAAAATGCTTTAAAAGAGCCGTTGAGTAGACCAATGTATGTGGTGGCCATCTTGACAGTGATGACTCCGCCTAACTCCTGGCTAGCCTTAAAATGGGCAAATAGGTGGATTGTGGGTGGAGCTGAGGAGCAGATAGCTAGCTGTTAGCAGCACTGTAACCCTAAACTGGAAATTAGTTAGCGTATAACTACTTCAGGTTCCCTTACCTCAATGTCAATGGTTTTTTGAATGTGCTTTTAGTTAGATGCCTGAAATAAGTAAGATCTGTCAAAACAAACAAGAGATTTTCCTATTTGGACCTACAACATTTCTGGCAATTGCATTTTCATTTCAGAAATGACAAAATGTATGTTAATGTGGAGATAATCCTGCTAAACAATACGTGTGTTTGCCAAAATCTTATTTTCTGCCTTATTCCATAATCCAATGACATCCAAGAGGGCACTTGCAAAGCTAACTAATTTATTAAAACCTACCGGAATGTATTAAACCCTTCAACAGGAAGTCTGCAATCGTTCTGACTTACCCAGCTGGCCTACCTGGCTATTTGCAACCCTGTTTGTGTCCCTCAAATCACGCTGTGCGCAAAAGGTTCCCTGCAACAACCTCAAGTGAACTGTACAAAGTAGGAGAGACATTTTGTATTGTGAGACAGATGTTAACAAGTTCAAGATACAGAAGGAGTTTACTATTTCATTAAATGTGAGGGTGGAGGGATTAGGTTTGAATTGGGCCTTCTTCAGACCAAAATCACAGGGACACACAGGAAGTAACATTTTGTCAGATTTACTATAAGCCTAATCATGTGGTGCTGCTGACACCTGCTGGACTAACAGTGTATTGCAAATATACCAGAGGCCCTTTTCACAGAACATTTGTTAACATGTCTCAGTAGTAGAGCCATCTGTAGTGTTTTTTAAGTAATGTCTGCTTTTTTTTCCTACTACTGTATGATTATTCAAACTGTCTCATGTGAAAAAGGCCTGTTCTGTTACATATGAAGAGATATTCATTCTACAGGAAGTTTTATGATTGTTAACACTTTAAACAAAGGATTACATTACATGTCATTTGTTAGACACTTTCATCCAAAGAGACTTACATACATTCAATACTGTGGGCAATCCCCACAGGAGTGTCTTGCCCAGGGACACAACGACATAGTAGTGGGGTTTGAACCTGTGACCCCCTAATTCGAAGTCCAGCACTCTATCCACTGAGCCACAGCCACCCTGTATAGCTAATACATTTTTGAATAACTATAATACAAGCAAACAGAGCCAGTAATCAATGAGTGATTAAAATAATCAAAGATTCAATGGCTTTATGTCATATGCACAATAGCTACAGCGATATTTAATATTATATTATATATATATATAGCTATTGTGCATATGACATAAAGC